CAACGGTTCATTCCCAGTACATAAGGCCATTGAATTCAAGTATAAGCCGACGTGAAAGTTCGAATCTGACTCACCATCATATATCTGGAACCTCGACATATGGAACCTTTTTGGGGCCTCAAACCTATCTAACTCTACTGAGAACGGTGTTCTCGACTTGACGGGTGATGTGACCTTGGCATTTTGTCGCTTCCTCTAGAGGTAGTCCCTCAAATCCTCCTTAGTCCGACCGGGAGCTCGGCTGTCAACGGACTTTAGCCTCTTTGGTGCACTACTCCCAATGTCGTTATGCGTCCTCTTGGACTTCTCTTCATTCACCGTGTCAAAACAAAGTTCCTTCTCTTGAACGTGCCGATGTTTCTTGACATAAGTTCCCTTGGTACGAGGCATCCTCTGAGAATCTCCTCTCATTGATTCTGCTCGCTCGGCATCCTGCGAAGGCCGATGTGAACGTTCCTTCACCTTGTCATACTGAAGGACTGCTGGGATTACTTTCTGCCTCTCTTTCTGGGCGTCATTCTTGGCCGCTGGAATTGACGTGTCCTTCAATGGAAACGGTGGCTGCATGACGTTGTTCTGCATCATGAAGTTGATAACCAATTGTAGGTCTGCCAACTTGTTTTCCATTCCCTTCATCTCGCCGTCCCTTCTCAGGCATCTATCTTTCCATACTTGGAGGTCGCTTTCGTTGTAATACTCGTCTCGGCCTGATTTCTTCAGTGCGTCTACATCTTGGCCAACATCCTTTTCCCCAAGATTTTGATCCCGTGTTCCTTTGTTATGGTTTTCTTCCTCCATGTTTGGATCGGCATGCTTACCACTCCCACTAGGGATGTCGTCTTCGATCTTTTCTTTTTGCCCGTCGTTGGCCATCTATTCTTCTTACGTTCCCACAGATGCCACCAAATTGTGGGTGTTGATTTTTGACCATACAACCAAACAGGGAAACTCAGCAGAAGAGCACCAGCAGAATAGATTAAGTCTGAATAACATGTCACAGAAAGATAAGAATCTGGCGGTGGTTCGTTCACCAAGGGTTACTCCGATGATCAAGTCAGCAATTACGTCTCAAAGATAGCCAATTGTGCTTAACTCACAAGAAAGAACTTACTGCTTATAGTATATCACACATACCTGAGACCTATGAGGGTGCTTTACTTTTATAGTTAGCACTAACTTGATCCTTGCAGAAGCCTCACTCCTGTGGACTCAGGCTCAATGCTCATATTGGACACTCAACTAGAAAGGGACAAACTCCCTAAGAGCTTTATCTTTATCCTGACTGAAATCCTTCCATGTTCTAGGACTCTTGTCCCTTATCCGCTTATCCCGGATTCCGATATCTCCGCAGATAACCTCGGCCTAGCCGAGATCACCTTGGCGTCAGAACCAGGTCACGTGGCACCTTGGCTAACACTCCGGCGTCACCTTGGTCATGTGCTGTCCCTCACAAAATATGTTCCCACAAGATAATTAGTGGATTGTGATTTGTGGATTGTATTATGATTCTATCATATGTTTCCTAGGAAGTATAGTTCTGGAAATGAAAAGAGAAAGAAGAAGCTGAACGTAGAACAATTAATTCAATCTCAGTCACACTCATAAACAACATATTCAATAAATAATAATGCAACTACACTCGTAAAAAACATATTCAGTAAACAATAATTAATTCAATACATATCCAAATACATTTTTATTGAATAAAGTTTTTCTAATTTTGGTAACTTTTTTTTTTTTTTTTTGGAACTCTAGAATGAATACATTTTGATATCTATTTTGGTATCAATCGACAGGAATTCGGCGGTGGTTCGTTCACTTAGGGACACTCCAATGCTCAAGTCAGTAATCAAATATCTCTCAAAGATAAGAAATTGTATTTAACTCACAAGAAAGAACTTTCTGCTTATAGTATATCACACATACCTGAGACCCACGGGGGTGCCTTACTTTTATAGCTAGCACTGACCTGATCCTTACAGAAACCTCACTCTTGTGGACTCAGGCTCAATGCTCATATTGGACACTTAACTAGATAGGGATAAACTCCCTAAGGTCATGTTTGATTCACAAGATTAATAGTGAAGTATTAATAATCTTATTAAATTAGTGTGGTATTCACTATCCAATTGGATTAATATCTACTGGATTAATAATCCCACCCCTACCCCATTACTAATAATCCTACAAATTTGTTGGATTAATTATCCATTGGATTAATAATCCTAAACCAAAGTGTTAAAACAAACATAGGATAATTAGGCCCACGGATTAATAATCTCAATCCCATCCTCTAATCCACCCAATCAAACATGCGCTAAGAGTTTTATCTTTATCCAGACTAAGATCCTCCCATGTTCTAGGACTCTTGTCCCTTATCCGCTTATCCCGGATTCTGATATTTCCGCAGATAACCTCGGCCTAGCCGAGATCACTTTGGCGTCAGAGCCAGGCCACATGACACCTTGGCTAACACTCCGGCGTCACCTTGGTCATATGTTGTCCCTCACAAAATACGTTCCCACAAGATAATTAGTGGATTGTGATTTGTGGATTATATTATGATTCTATCATATGTTTCCTAGGAAGTATAGTTATGGAAATGAAAAGAGAAAGAAGAAGCTGAAAGTAGAACAATTAATTCAATCTCAGTCACACTCATAAACAACATATTCAATAAATAATAATGCAACTACACTCGTAAACAACATATTTAGTAAACAATAATTAATTCAATACATATCCAAATACATTTTTATTGAATAGAGTTTTTCTAATTTTGGTAACTTTTTTTTTTTTTTTTTGAAACTCTAGAATGAATACATTTTGATATCTATTTTGGTATCAATCGACAGTAGCGATACTAAACAGGGTATTTTTTTTTTCTTTATGAATATAGGCCTCCGTTTTGGTTTCGCCTTAGGCCCCCAAAAACTCAGGATCGGCCTTGCTCCGTTGCTACTGCTTCTCCTCCGTTGCTGCTCCGCCGCCCTTCTCTGTCGCGAGATCTAGATCTGTAGCTTCTCTCTCTCTCTCTCTCTTTTCCTTTCTCTCCTCGATTGCTGCTGCTCCTCCATCGCTGCTCTTTCTCTGTCACTCCTCCTCCTCCATTGTCGTTCCTTTTTCGCCGCAAGATCTAGATCTGTAGCACATAGACTACGTCACCGCAATCACCACCCCAATCTGATGAAGCAGTTTTAAGAAAGCTTTCAACCAAAATAGAGATTTGTTAAATCTGTATGCAAATCATATACATACATGCTTGTGTATTTGTATAGAACAACAAAATACAAACATCGATCACTCTCTCTAACTTTTTCATTCATGGGGGGTTTTGATTTAGAAAATGTTTAAAGTGCTTATCTGTCGTTTAGCAGACGTGATTTGTGTTTATTTGTGCTTTGCATTATTTTGGTTTATGCTTATTTAGTTAATTTGATTTATGTTTATCTGTGGGTTTCTCACTCCACCAAGATCTTCTTGTTGATGATGATGAAACATTAATTTTTTGATTTTGTTTTTGTGTTGAATAGATAAGGATGAGAGAAAAGATATAATGGAAGATTACTTAGCTTGTACAGATAAAATTATACACAAATGAAAATTAGTACAGATAAAAATTGGACAAATAAAATTTGGACAGATAGAAAACTTGCACAGATAAAATTTGGATAGATAGAAAATTTACACAGACAGACAAAAAAAATTGAACAGAAAGTCAACGAAAAGTTAAACAGATAAAAAAAAGTCAAGGGATAAAATTGAAAACAAAATATCTTCTAAAACTTCTCACCAAATTATTTTACAAAGTGTGAACTTTTCATCAATAAAATAAAATCACTAGCCTTAGACAATCGGTAGAGTAGATTTTTTTATCAATTTTCTCTTGATAATATTGTTAGTGTTCTTTTTTTAAAAAAAAATTATCATTAAATTTGTTGAGATTAATTCATTAAGTTGAGTAAGTTTATAATTATACGGTTAAAAATATGACACATAACACTTATGTGTATATTTTCCATAAAAAATGATAAGAGTTAGAATTAATTGAATCAAATTAAAACAAAATTATAAATTCAGAATCAAAATTAAAGCAATTAAAATTAGAGAAGGGTAAAATGACACAAGGGCAACATACAACGCTACCGTTGTAATTTGACCTAATTCTTAACTAATTTCATGCTCTTATCCGGTGACAAACACTAGATTGCTCCAACATCTCTCCAAAACCTCCACAAAACCCTAAAGCAGAGAACAATGGTGGACCTTCCATCGGAAATCATTGCCAACATACTCTCTCGACTACCAGTGAAACCACTCCGACTACCAGTGAAACCACTCCGACAATTCAGGTGCTTATCCAAACCATGGTGTTCTCTAATTGACAGCCCTACCTTCATCAAAATGCACCTTCACTGATCCATTCAATACCGATCCAATCTCTCCCTCATTCTCAGAGAGTTGAACGCTAACATCCCAAACCTACTATTCTCCGTAGCCTTTGATAAGCTCGACATAGCTTTTAAGCTTTATCAACCCCTCAATCTCTCCCTCATTCTCTCTCTGCCTTTTCCCCTCTTCTCACAGTTCCCCTAAATCACAAATAACATATTTTTGGATTACCTAAAACTTCATGTTTTCATGTTTTCTACTGTGAAAGAAAATGAAACTTGGCTACACTATCAAACGTAATTAGTTTTTCTTGTTCTTCCTCTGCAAATTCTTCCATCAAAATGCACTGTCAGATCATTTTACTAATTTTACACTAGAAACCAACTGCAATAAATTAGGATCATGAGAATCAATGAAAGATTCAACAAAAATACACATAGAAGTAACCTTGTAACCAAGGAATTTGAAGAGTGCAGTTCATCAAACATAAGACAATAATTGCATTGCATTCTAGCAAAAAAAAAAAAAAAGAATGAAAAAAGGAAAAGCTTCAAATAATCAAACAGATTATAATCCTTTTGTTATGTTTTCACTTGTGAATCTGTATATAAATTATAATCCTTACGTTTTCTTATGTATATAAAAAAGAAGTAACCTTGTCAAACAGATTATAATCCTTATGTTTTCACTTGTGAATCTGTATATAAATATATAGGATATTGGATGGACCTAGCAACAAAACACATCAACACAACAGAAGCCATCAATGAGCATCAACAGGTCCTTCACCTGCGCCAGTGACTAATGGCCCGGTTCCATCATCGTTAGCAGTGAACACCTTGGCAATCTTCTCCGTGGGCACCAATGGAAGATATGATGCAACTTTGTATCCCTTCTCTGCGCTACAACGGACAGTCTCATTGTACTTTTCAGAACAGTAAGCAGCCCTTGGAACCACAACCTGGGCCACCTGAGGGAAGAGAGGGAGACGATTGAGGGAACGCCAAGCAAACACAGCATATTGCTCGGCTAGGGGCTCATACTTGGTGTAAAGATCTTTGGCAGCAGGCTCATACTTCGTATACATGTTCTTTGCGAGTCCTGAGGCAGTGTCAACCACGTTGCCACGCTGGACTTCTGAAGCCACAGCTCGGGCAGCCGATGGAGCCTTCTGAGCTGCTGATAGCGCTTCGGTTGAAACCTTTTTCACAAGTGGTGGCACGCGGCGATCCAACTCGTTCACAGACATATCAACCTGCATTAATGCTAAATGAAATTAAGTCTGATGGAATAGAAGGAAAGAAAATAAAAGAAATGATTGGGCAGAAGAGAAAAAAACGAATGAACTGTTCTCTCTCCTTATTTGGATAATTTAAGAGAGAAATTAAGAGAAAATGATGGGTAAGAATGACAAAAATGGAATCACTTCTCATAGAAATAAAGGTCAAAGGCAGTAATTATTAACTTCTTTTCTTTCCTTTCCTTTCCAAATCTCTCATCCAAAAGAGTAATTTGGGAGAAGATACTGTTTTATTTTCTTTTCTCTTCAAATCACCCCAGCCAAATGGAAAGGGGTTTAGCTCTAATATAATCATTGTAAGCCTAGCAATCATAGCAATAGAAGCAACTGCACAAATAGGCTCCTTCTGTTTCTATTCACACACATCAAAAGGTTGATCACATAAATTTACTAACTAATGCATTGGCCTTAATGTAAGACAATATAATAAGCAAATTTTCGATGTAACAACAATTGTGTAACAAAGCTTTGGCCTTTGACCTTTCCAAAGTAACCATAATCTCAGTTTTTTGCTCCCAAATATTATGAACTTGTTATCATATTTGATCATTTAAGTAAAGAAATATTTGGATCTCGTAACAACTATACAATCTAATAATTGTCGATTTATCAATATGAGTATCTCGCAGAACATGATTTAACCTCAAAAGCACGAACACTTCAAAGAATGTGGAATTTATCAATATGAGTATCTTGTAGAACATGACTTAATCTCAGAAGCACGGACACTTCTAAGAAGGTGACGTGTCCATGTTGGGCACGTATTGGACAATCTTTTTTACGCGTTCATAATTTTTTTGAAAAAAAATCTTAATTTTGAATATGTATCTGATACTCATTTTGCGACATGTCCGTCTCTTCTTGGCCATGTCTATCACTAAAATATAAACATGAGATTAGCACTTCTTGTACATTTGCTACCGTATGATATTCAAAGTTAAAGAATTTGAAAAAAATATCTTGTACTCTTAAAAAATGTTGCAATTATATGATTGTTAGATGCAAGATCTACTCAAATAAATAACTATATAATATAATATCAACATACAATTGTTTGGGACATGTTACATTTTAAAAATTTTCTGTGTCTTGTATCCATGTCTATACTTCCTAGGTTAACCACATTCAAATATATATCATCCTCCAGCGTTCGTAAGATTAATGAATGGCTCATTCTATGTTGAATTAGCAATGAATAAAAATTGAACTTTTTGAATTAGAACCTCCAGTCCCGGACAGAGGGCATGAATTCTATGCTGACTAAATCGCAACATAAACTTTAAATTAATTTTTTTTTTTTAAATTTTATAAAAAAATGATCATCATCATAATCAATCCTATTATTCGTAACAAGATACTAGGCATTAATGTAATTCTCCAATTATCCAGAATCGATCATACCAACACACAACATAAAAAAAAAATTAAAAAAAATAAAAAGAAAAAAAAAAGAAGAAGAAGAGAAGAAAAGGGAAATCACGAACCTTGCGATCGACGAACTTGAGGAGTTCGATAGGGACGTCATGGAACTTATCGTAGACAGGTCCAACGACAGTCTTGACGGTGCCTTCGACGGTCTCAACACCAGGCTTCAGAGGCCCAGAGTTGTCCTTGGCATAGTCATACAGCCTCGCGAAGCACATCAAAGCGTGAATCATAGCAACTTGCACGAACTCCAAATACTTCAACCTCTCTTCTTCCTCTCTCTCACCCTAAATACAAACAACAACACAACATAATCAGAAATCTAATCAACAAAAGCATGAACATCGAAATAGAAATCGAAATCGATCAAATTGATAACGAATTATTGAATTTAGGGATGATTGATCGTACCATTTGGGGTTGAATGTTTGGGAGATCTGATTCGGCCATGAACGCGAATATGTTTTTAGAAAAGATGCTTTTAGAAAAGGTTACGATATAGAAATGAAAAGGGTTTTTCGATGGGAACGATAAGAAATCTGGTCGGGTGTGTATTATATAGGAGGGAGAAGGAACGGCTAGCGTGTGACCAATCACACGATTTATACGGAGGACGACAAAATTGGAGTCAACGTCCAGTCGCTGGTAACTTCGCCGTTAAGTTTACTTTTAGTACACCATCTCGAAACGATGACGCCATTGTCCATGGCTTATGCCCTATTATGGCCCCCACTCACATTCCAAGGGTTCGCGTGGAAATGAATTGCATGCTAGGATATCAAATTTTATTTTAATAAATGATTAAATATTTTATATAGGTGTATTTTTGTAGACTTTACATGTACGTAAGATATTTGGGTAAAATTATTAAATATTTTTAGAGTATAATGGCCTTGTTTGGTTTATTTTTGAGAAATAAATTTTGAAAAAAAAAATTTAAAATTTTGTTTGGTTTAGTGATTTTGAAAAAAAAATTCAAAATTACTTTCTTACTTCTACACATCAATCAATCATTTTTTCTCTCACACACATCTACTCAATTACAACAAAATATCAAATCATTCCAAACTTCTATACTCCAAAACTATTTCCAAAATATACAACTAAACAAATTAAAAAAAAATTCTAAACTCTCTCCCTAAAATCTTTTTTGAAAATTTTTCTCCCAAAATTAAACCAAACACACCCCATGTGTCTGTACTTCCTAACCAACTAGTATTCAATATGTCCCATCATGTTTCACAATCACCCAATACAATATCTCACATACCCACCTTCTCCACCAATCATAATATTATCGAATACCATGTGTCTATACTTCGGAATTACTGAATAATTATATGACATTTGATCATTTATTTGGTAGAAATTTAGAACTCATAGTATTTTTTTCTTTTTTTTAGAAGTGTTTGAGTATGTAAGATACCTATTATATATATTTGTGTAAATTTTATAAATGTATATAATCTATCTCATAAAACCACGTAAGTCTCACAAATATATATAAGTTGTGATTTTTCAAAGTTTTATAAGTTAACTTACGTATATTTGTGAAAACTTATATAATTTTTTGAGATAACTTATTTATATTTATATGTGTGTAAAAACGTACACGAATATATATAGTATGCACTTACACACTTAAGAATTATTTTTTTTTATTTGAATTAATTACATTTTATCTCTTTATAGTTTTGATTTGTGTTTGTAGAATAGTTTTTGAAATAAAAAGTATAAAAACTTGTTTAGTTTGTCTTTTTTTAAAAATGATTTTAGAAAATTATTTTGAGGAGAGAGTTTTAAAAAAAAAGTGATTGATTTAATGTATATGAGAGAAAATGCGTGATTTTGAAAAGTAAGTAATTAAACAAAATTTTAAATTTTTTTTTAAAAAAAATTATTTAATTTGATAACTTTTAAAAATTTGTTTATGGAGAGTTTTTTTCAAAATTTTTTTTGAAAAACAAACTGAGCAAGGCCACTTAACTCTCTTGTTATTTGGGGTAAAGTCTAAAGTAACGGATTCCGGCTAAGTTAACTGTGCTTGTTAACTTAAATGCAGGGAGCAAATATTGGGTCCAAATTAAATTGATAAAATGACATTTTTATCCTTATCTTTTCTTTTCATTTTCTTTTCTTCTGCCTTTCATTGCTGTACAATAGCAGTCAACCGACTCTACCATTTCCTTTTATTTTTTCTTGTCAGTACCCATTATCTCCTCTCTCACATTTTTCTTTAATTTTGAGCATAGTGGCAGAAGACACACACAGATATATATATATATATAGCCATGTGTGGTCTTCCTACCTAGTTTGGTTCGGAGACAGCCATAGCAATTTTCGTGACAAAAAAGGAAAAAAATTAAGAGTGTGTTACATGTATTAATTAGTGTATTAATATTAGTTATGATATTATTCTTAATCCCACTCATTATACAAATTATAAATACTAAAAATATTTTAAATTATATCACATCATCAATTAGTACACTAGTTACTGTACTAATTAATACATATAACATTAGTTAAAAAATAATAATAAAAAAAAAGAAAAAGAGATAAGGAAAGAACATAAATTGCTAGTGATGTAACCAAAGAAATAATGGGTAGATGGTTTCAATTATAATATGTACGGGGAGGAAATATCTGTCGCTTTCCGTACGCCTTGCTACCAAACTTGTCTCTTTTAACAAAACTCTGACTCGCTGCGAACAGAACAAAGGTAATGTCACAACCCCATTCCGCCCATAGTAGAATGGTGCCGTGATAGCCAATAATCCGAGATTACCAAAGACTAACTTACAAAGATTCACACACAATCAGAGTATACATATGGGGCTTACATGTGCGGAAGCAATAAATCTAAATTTAAGTAGTCTATAAGAGTTGTGCATAGATCAAATGAAATGACATACATCTTAACATGGTTTACAACTTGAATACAAATAAAATAAAATACATGTTACATCTTAATCAAAAGGCTTCTCAAGCCGACATATACAAAAGAAGTGAATTAAAATTAAGAAACATAATCTTCAAGAGGTTAGCAAAATGAATCCAAAACAACTTGCAAATAACATCTTAGGCTTTACCGCCTTCTTGTGTGCCACCTACATATATATAAAGGGGAGGGTGAGGTTGGATACTCAGTGAATGATATTAGTAATAAAGGTTTAAATGAATGATATCCGAGATCTTTATCAAAACAATACATAATCATAGCTTGTAACAAAACATGAGACGAATCAAGTTCATCAATCAAATCTTTCAAATCTTCTTGGAATGTTTAATAACATCTACATAATACATGTGGGATGACATTCCGGACAAAACAAGGGAATAATCGACCCGAAATCGATTAGACAAATTCACCCGCACAAGGCCGTCGGTGGGGCCATCCGTACAAGACCGTTGATGGCAGAGATCTCTCAAACATGGTGCTACATGGGCTTAAAGTCCCATAGCATGGAAGGACTTTCCAAGAATGTCATCAAAATAAGATAATACTTGATACAAAAACTAGGAATAATCATTCATGCTTGATCAAATACTTTTCCAAAACGAAGCAAAGCTTTATCAAAACTTCATAACATAGCTTTATTAAAAATACCACTCACATAGCTCTTCGTGTGTAGGGATTAAGGCAAGGATCCAAGACCTACAAATACATGGCAAAGTCTATTGAATGCATTTCAAGAAGACAAGAAAGAATGCTCAAAGATGGCTATGCAATGCATTCTTAAAAACAAACTTTACATGAATGAAAATGATCCCAGCATTTCTTTCCAAAACCAAGTCAAGACAAAGCAAAACATGCTGGGAGTTAAATCATTGTTTTTCTTCTAGGGAAAACATGCTGGTTGTAAAAACACTGTTTTTCATCTAGGAAAAACATGCTGGGTGTAAAAACACTGTTTTTCATCTAGGGAAAACATGTTGGGTGTAAAAACATTGTTTTTTATCTAGAGAAAACGTGCTGGGTACTAACCAGGTCTTGGAATGGATGTACAAAAATGATCTAGGCAAAAATGACTTAGCTGGGTGAACCCGGGGGGTCTTGACCGAGGTCCCACACCTCTTGGCCGAGATGTGGTTACCTAGGCTACGGTGTGCAGCTGTCTGCCGAGGTGTTACAAGGTGCCGGCAAGGGTGTACCATAGTCGGCCTAGGTGTGCAGTGGTTAGCCTAGGTGTGCATGCAAGATAGACTAAGGTGCAAGTGATCATGCAAGATAGGCCAAGGTGAGATACGATGCTTGGCCTAGGTGTGAGATCTAGGCAAGAGTGGTCTCGGTGATCACACCTAGGGAAATGAAGCCTGGAAATCTGGGTTTCCCCCCTTGAAGAACATGAATGCTAAAATCATAACTTCTTTATTCAAAATCTGAGATTTCATGAGATGAGTTCAAAAACATGGACTTGGATTACCCATACTTGAAGATCTTATGAAAACAAAACACAAAAACATGGATCTGATTCAAACTTTCGGATCAAAATATGTTTTATTTCAAGAACACAAAACATCATTTTCTCTTTCTAAAACAACCTTTAAATCAATGCATGGCTCATGAATCGTGCTAGATCATGCAATGTGATCGGATCAACATAAAGATATACAAGAGTAGATCAAGAATCTAACCTCAAACACAGATCTAATGGTCAAGGTGTGAAGATCAAGCTTGGAAATCTAACTTTTCTCTTAAGAACTCCTCTTCCTCACTTCCTAGTGGCTTATCTCTCTATCAAGGCAAAGATATGACAAATTATGTGGGTTTCTCTTACTGCCAGTAACTACCTTCGCTTGGGACATGTGGCACTACCGGATTGGTTTCCTAAAAGGTGACTGAATGACATGACAAGAGCATGACCAAAGGGTGTACAACACGAAAGGTGACTGTAGAATCCCATTTTGATCGTCCTCAAGCTTGGACGTCATTGTTTGAACACACGATGATATCCATGTTTGTTTGTTTTGAGTTTCGAAAAGTCTTGACTGCGCGCCTTGACTTAGAATCTCTTAACTTCTCTGTTTTGTGCTTGGTTGCACCCAAGAGCTGTGGATGTGTTTCCGAGGAAGGGGTAGCCTGTCGACCAAAGTCTCCTCCACCGGCACCTTGATTTTAATCGGCCAAATGTGGATGCCGGGCGCCGACCAAGTTTGACTCCGCGTCGACCACTTTGATAGCGGCCGGCCAAAGCTGTGGTTTTTTTCAACGAGATTCTTATGTAGACATATGGCAGCTGTCTTCTCCAAGGCCATATCGCCATAGCCCTTAGACTGGACGTGGGGTGTTTGCCTGATGACGCTGCAGATTGATATATATCTATATCAATCAAGCTTCTTCGATCAATTATGACAAGAGAGAAAGTAACAACTTTGCAGCAAAAAAAAATCTACTCTCCTCGTCTTCTCATCCATTTTCTGCCTTTCTCTCTAAGGTTTAGGGCTTGTTTGTGCTCAAAAGTGCATTTTCTTTGCACTTTTGCATACAAACACCTAGTTCTCTACTCCCTTTATTGAGTTGAGGTCCTTGGAGGTGATTTTTGGGGTGATTTGAAGCCTTTTTTTGGT